GCGATCGCCCACCGCCGCGATGGACGGAGACGGTGACCCAGGTAGCCGCCGCCGCCCGGACCCACGGGCTCCGCCTGGGAGGGGAGACCGGGGCCCGCGAGCGAGCGCTTGGGAGATGCGGGGGGCGGGGGCGCCAGCTGAAACCCAGCGCCGCAAACTTTTACCTAAGCAAAGTCCTTGAGACAGCCTCCAAAGAGCACGGCCCTCCGTCTGGCGTTTTGGTCTGGCGGGAGGCCTCCAGAGGTGACAGCCAGGGAGGGAGGTCTCCTGGGTCCCATTTACCCAGGAAACAGCAAAGGAGTAACCCCACGTTGCCCCCTCCCAGCTTGCTGAGGGGCTGTCGGGGTGGGGTCTGGGACGCATCTGGGATACAGGAGGCTACAAGCCCTTTTCTTCCATCATCTTCTATTTCCCAGCTCTGGTCCATGAGCTGCCTGAGTCCCCCATGGATTTCTTGGGGTTACGGGCCTCTACCCATCCCATCCCAGCCTTCCTCCTGGGTTCCCTTGTCTGGAGGGGCCACCCTTCATGTGAGTGGCCAGATGCCCAGTGGGGACCAGGCCAGCAGCGAGGGAGGCTTGGGGCACCAGCTCTTGCCAATGCTCAGGGCCCTCAGACTGCCCAGTCATGTTGTCTGGCACCAGAGACCCCCCCTCCCCATCCTCTGAGCTGGCTGGGCCTGTAGGGGTTGTCAGCTGAGTCAGGGTGGGAACAAGTCCTGCCTGCAGACTCCCCCGTCCCTTCCTCAGTGGGCCCGTCTGAGAGTGGGCACTGCTTGGGGGAGGCACAGCACACCGATGCCTGCTTACATAACCAAGCCCCCTTCCAGCCCCGAAAACCCCAGCTCCTTCCGCCCCCGCTCCCAATCCTCTGTGGCCCCCTTGCCACACCTTTTATAGGGCCCCAGATTGGGCTCCTGCTTTTTCTCAGGGCTCAGCTATTCCCTGGACTCCAGGGCCCAATCCAGGTGAGTGAATCAGCCTTGGAGGCAGCTTCCAGGGGCCAGATAACTTTCCGACAGCAACAATGTGGGGAGTTGTGTGTGCTTGAGCGGCCGGTGGGGGGGCCTGTAATCAGATCTGGGGCCTCAAGTGCCAGGCCTGGGGCCAAGAGAGGGGACTGGGCGAGGTGCACCTTTCGGGGGAGCATCAGGTGTCCACCAAGGCCAGGGCAGGGCAGGGGGAGGGGTGGAGAGGTGAGGACACTGGGCCCTGCTCCCCAGAGAGCTGTGGGCCGCAGGATGGGCAGGTGATATGGCTGTGGGGCCTGGCATTTTCCTCTCTCACTTACCACTCTTCTGCCGCGTGACTTGGGAGAACCCAGGAAGGGTCTCTGGGCCTTAGTTTCCGCTTTGCCAAAAGGGGAGAGGTAAAGTCCCACATAACAAAGATGTGACCAAAAACAAAAAGTTAATAATGAAGGGAACAGACCATGCTGAATAGTAAGATTCACTAAATAAGATCTACTGAGGACTCACTGTGTGCGCTGGGCTATGAAGAGGTAAACTCTGATGCAGTTATTAAGGGTCTGACTGTGTGGGGGGAGGGAGAAAATGCTGCATGTGAGGAGGTAAAGGGCTGGCAGGCTGGGGTCCTGGCAGCACCCAGACTTGGGTCCAGCCCTGCCTGTTCCCTCCCCAAGTGCCTGGCCTATTTCCACCACCACCTTGGCTCTCCAGGTTTCAGACCTTAGGAACCCCCCATCCTAAGTCTGAGAGCTGTGGCATCCCCCATCACCCAGAGTGGCCCCGTTTCCTCCCCACTGTCTCTCCCTCCTGCAGAGACACTGGGCACTTGGTATCTGCTTACTCAAGGCTTCGATGGCCTAGCTGAGGCCAGCTGGGATCCAGAAGATAGCCCAGCCTGTAGCTCCTGATATCTGTCCACCTCCTTACAATTCAGAATGTCCTTGCCCCTCCTCAGGGGATTTGAACATCAGCACTGTCTGAATGGCCCCGGCACCAGGATTACCCCCATTTTATAGACGAGAAAACTGATGGCCAAGAGTGAAATACCCTTCCTTTCCCAAGCACTTATTACATCTCCCTGTCTGATACACACACACTCACAAAGTGTCTTGTAATGAACCCCCTCCTCCATCCCCAAGTCAAAGACTCCTGTTCCCTTCTTTCCCCTCAGGCCTCAGATTCCCATGTCCCCTTTACTAATACTAGCAATGTGACCTTTGGCAAGTCACTTCACATCTCTGAGCCTGAGCATTTTCATCTGCAGAATCAAAATCATAACAGTGCCTCCTAATTCAATGAATTATTTTATTGATGTGTGACGGTTAAAGGTCGCTCTGGGGCCAGGCTACCTGAGTTCGAGTCCAGGCTCCAGCCACTCATTTGCCATGTGATCCTCAGGTGTTTCACTTCTCTGTGCCTCAGTTTCCTCATCAGTGAAACAGGGACAGCAACAGGAAAAACCTCAGAGATGCCGTGAGGCTTTAAAGAGTAAATGAACGTAAAATGCTCAGAATAGGCCTATACTTGCGAAGTGCCCAAGTCAACATTCGATGCTGAGGGAGTGCCAGATGCCAGGCACTGGGGACGAAGCAGTGAGTTTCCCAGACCTTGTTCCTGCCCCCATGTCCTCAGTCTAGTCTCAAGAAAGGTGTTTTATAAGCCATCACACATTAGGACAAAACCTGGGAAGGACTGGAACTCGGGGTGAGAGGATGTAACGGGGAAGTCCAGGAGGGCTTCCATGAGGAGGTGACCGGAGCAGGGATCTCAGAGCGTGTTTGGAAGGATTAGAGAAGTTTATGCGTGAAACCTGAGGCAATCCTGTTACTATTACCGGTTGCTGTTATTTGCTCAGGGATGGGGTGTCCTGGTTCTGCAGGGGAAACAGGCCTGTGAGGCTGGTCTTCCGCACTTGGGGCTGGTCTGTGGGCCTGGTCCCCTTGGTTCTGCTCCACTGGGCACCTGTTTCTGGTCGGAGACTCTCTGGCCCCAGCTGCTGAACGTCCGAGGGTGGGTGGCGGGGGGGATACCTGATGCATCGCGGTTCTGGGGCTTGCAGGGGGGCGGTCTGGGGGAGTGACCGCCTCCCCCCTGCACCCCCCGCAGAGAGCATGGGCCAGCCTGAGGAGGCGAGCTCGGATGAGCAGCAGCAGGAGGAAGGGTGCCCGGGCGCGGCGGAGGAGAGCGCCGGGGACGAGGCGGAGGCGGAGGCGGAGGCGGAGGCCGCCTACCTGGCCGAGCTGCCCGAGCCGCTGCTGCTGCGCGTGCTGGCCGAGCTGCCCGCGTCG